GATAGTCATGATATTGACTTCTTAATATTAAACTGCAGGGCCTGCTTTGGCACTTTCTTCTTTCACTTTCACTAAAAGTCATTTCAAGTCATTGCTGCTTTCTGCCAAAAAAGATGGTGTCATTTGCATAGCTTAAATTACTGATGTTTCTTCCACCAATTTTCAGTCCTCCATTTGCATCTAGTCCGGCTTTTCATATCTGTGTACAGACTGAACAGATAAACAGATAAAATGCAACATTGTCTGACACCTTTGCCTATAGGAAACCATTCTGTCTCTCTATATTCTGTTTTAACGGTGGTTTCTTGTCCACAATGCAAGTTATGCATTAGGACAATCAAGTTCTGAGGCACTTCCATATCTTTCAGAAGAACCCATAGTTTATCATGATTTACACAGTCAAAAGCTTTGCTTTAATCTATAAAGCATAGGCTGAGCTTCTGAAATTCTTTGACAGCAAGCAGATATTTGCAATATGATCTTGAGTGCTTCTTCTTTCTTCAAATTCAGTTTGAATATCAGGCATTTCTCACTCCATATAAAGTAAAAACCTTTGTTGCAACAACTGAGCATCACTTTGCTTGCATGGGAAATTAAAGCAGTGGTCCTGTAATTTTGCAGTCCTTGGCATCTCCTTTCTTGGGAATTGGAATGTATATTTAGTGTTTCCAGTCTGTGGGCCATTGTTTTCTTTTCCATATTTGTTGGCATATTCTTGTTAAGATTTTGACAGATTCAGTCTCTGTGGCTTGAAATCATTCTATCAGTATACCATCTATCCCCGTGCTTTCAAAGCAACTTTCACTTTACTTTCTAGAACTGCAGGTTCTTCATCATAGGATTCCTTTTAATAGGAGTTTTTCGTCTTTCCATCTCTTCTATATGGATCTTCAATATACTGTTTCCACCTTTTATTTATTTTTTGCTGGTCATGTAGTGGTTTCCCTATTGGTCTCTCAGTGTTCCTAATCTAGGCTTGAATTTCCCTTTGATTTCTTGGATTTTTTTGGGAAGAGATGTCTTGTTCCCCTCCCCCCCCCTTATGTTGTTCTCCTCCACTTCTTTGCATTGGTTGTTGTCTTTGTCTCAGTGTGGCAGGTGCTTAAAATTTTCATTCAGCGTTCTGACCCTATTTCTGTCACTGTTTACTTTTGCTTTCTCATCTGTCCTTTACAATTTTAAGAGTTGCATGATAAAAGATGAATTGCCTAAAATGAAAGAATAGTGATACTGAGAGCAGTGCCGTTGGGAAGCTAGACACCAGTATGAGCTTTAAGTTCTAGCCCTTTCTAAATGCTGAAGCATGTGCTGGAGAGAGCATATGAAGCTGCTGTATAGGCTAGAGCTACCTAGTCTATGATTATCTACTCTGATGTTGTACCTCTTCATGTCAGTCTTGCAGTGATCCAGATCTTTCCCAGGCTGTCACATCTACCAATCTTTTAAAACCAGAGATCTCAGAAGATCTGGATGTGAGGCTTTATGTATGCAAAGCAGAGGTATGGCCCCAGAGGATGCAAGATCTGATGAATTCTTAATAACATCCTGTATGGAAGTCAAGATGGTGTGTTCACATTAGAGCACAGTTAAAATACTCATAAGACTGCCTGTTGGAGATAGATTTCATTCCTGTTCTGGAGCCGGCTCTGATTTAGCTTCTTTGCCTCTAGATGTTGCTGTTGCTCTGCCTGTCTTACACAACAGAAGAGGGACTGCCTGTCCACTTCTTTTTTCCTGTTACCCATCCCTGGCATGCTTCCATACAAGCCTCCTGTTTGCACTTAGTTTCACCAGGGACACATTGCTTTTTCTATTTTGTTTTGTCTTGTTTCTCTTACCAGACTTAAATTAGCAGGGCATCTTGCAGTTAGCTGCATGGTGCCTTCTCTTTGGTATTGCCAGGAAGCCTTCATTGGGAAGTGCTTCCTGCCTCTTGCAAAAAAAAGCTCACATGAAGATGTGGCAACATCTTTTCATAGGCTTCATAGGCTTGACAGGGATAGTTTCATTTTTGGACCCAAAATCCACTGATTCTTGATTCTGCTGGTTGGAAATTGTAGCAACACGCTCCCTGCCTCCCTCCCCCCCCCAAAAAAACTCTGATACAGCCGTATACAGCAATGTAAAGTGTCTTTGTTTGGAATCCAGATTCTCATACAGCAATACATTTTGACATGATTTCCAGTTAGTTGTAGCAGTAGTGAAAACCAGATTATAAATGAGAGACAAAGTCTCAAGATGTAGAAAATAGGATTGAGTTCTTTATTCTGTATTCTTTAAATGGGTAGTTAAAAAGCTCTGGCTGAACACATTTTGGAGAAGCCTTCTCCAGGAGCTAAGCGTAACACAAAACCACGTTAGATATTGAATCATTCACATTTTCTTTTGAAAAAATATATATACATCTTGCTTGGGACTCAATTTTACATAAATACAGTACATACATTTATACTGAGCATATTAGGCATGATAAAATATATTAGACAAAATATAAAACACATACTGAGCTTCTTTATACTCTTTGCACCTTTCTTTGGTCTATATCAGCTCCAAAACTGATTGAAAATGTTTGAAAGTTCAGGCACTGAGAAAGGAGGCATTTGTACACAGCTGTACGTAAAGATGAAGGCGGGGAGATAACCAGCCCAGCAGTGTTATCATAATAACGGGAGAAAGTCTATTTCTTTGTTTAACCCATGAGGTACTATGGTGTTCAGTTTCAGGATCCAGTCAATTTCCCTTTTTAGTAAAGACCTTTCACAGTTCCCAGGAACTCTGTCCATGGCAAGAGCCAGAGCTTTTTAATAACCCATTTAAAGAATACAGAATAAAGAACTTGATTCTGTTTTCTACATTCTGAGACTTCGTCTCTCATTTATAATCTGGACTTCCGTGGATGTACCAGTTCCTTTTGTTTTGCAGTAGTGAAAACAGCAGGAACAACTAGGACTGATAGTGTTACCAGAGCAGTTTAGCCTACAGCTTTATATTCTGATGTGCAATCTGCAGAGAGGGCTTCTTTAATTTCTCTTTCTCATGATCAGATAACTCCACAGTGCTGCCACATTATTTCTATATTTCAAAAGTTAGGAAACTTTCCGCTTCAGTATTGTTGATTATAAAGGCCTAAACCCAATTGCTGGAACCAGCTAAAGTAGAGCCATTGAGTCAGTTGCTAATGGGAAGTCACCATTTATAGAAATCCTATTGGTTCTGTAGGTCTCCTCTAATTGGATTTAGGAGTTGGATTTAGGCCAGAGATAGATCATTACGCCTTCTCTCTGCTTTCCTCTGCAGCGTTTGTTGCCTTGGTACCATATAGCACATTTTCACAACCGGTTGTCATCCTTGTGTTTGAGCACAGCTCCCATCACCCCCTATCTGCACCAGTTTGCTGGTCGGAGTTGTGGGAGTTGTAGTCCTACTCATCTGAAGAAAAGCAAGTTGGGCAAAGCAGATTGGAAAAGCAGATTAGAGAAAGCAGTCTGCTTTTCTCCAGATGAGTTGGACTACAATTCCCACTACTTCAGCCAGCAGGCTTGTGCTGATGGGGGCGATGGGAACTGTAATCACCCATGGAAGACGAACGGTTGTGGGAAGGCACCATTTGGTATGCATTGGATGAAGCCTCCGTGTAGGTGGGGAGGTGAGGGCTCTCCACCGAGGGGACGGACAGGCGCTCTCCTTCCCTCACTAAACAGAAGAGAATGGACTTGTGTGGGCACTCGCCTGGCAGGGCCTTCTGAGGCTGTGCATACCCGATAGCTGGAAAGGAACTGTGCGCGCCGTGTGTGCGTTCCCACCCCACCCCACCCAGCACACAGAGTGCAGTGTGGTTCTTTGTGGGCTCTGTGATTCATACTTACAGGATCTGTGTTTGCACAGAGCCTTTTTCAGAACATGTCAGAACTGCATCGTTTCGTCAAGAACACCCTCCCCACCACCACGCGTGTCCAAGCACATCTCCCCTCAGCCTCTCAGTTCTTTTTCATCCTCTGCCAAAGCAACAGCACTCAGAACATTAGCCTCACTTGCCAAGTAGAAATATTTTTTTTGTTTCCTTTCTTGCTTTCTGAACTTCTTTTATTCCCTTCCTAGTGTTGGTTAAAGTTTACTGATTATCTGTTGCCTATTTTTCACCGGTGCCTTCCTTCTCTTTGTGGGTATTGGCCACAAAAAGCATTTAAAAAGCGTTCAACCTGTGGTGTCATATCGTACATGCAAATAGTCACTCGTGCTGCCCTTTTTTGCCTAGACCGGTCACATTTATCCCAGCCCGGCATCACCTGCCCCCATTTTAATAAATGGAGCCTTAGATTCTGCCTGTTGAAACTTAGGCTGTTGCTATGGGAGGAGTCTCTAAAGGCAGATGGATAGGCAGCTCAGAATCATCCACAAGAAAGAGGAGTGGGAGGTACCCAGGCAAGGGTGATTGTTTCCTTGCTAACCAGTTGGGCAAGGTGGGGAAGAGGGGAAGTGTGTGTGTGAGAGGGAGGGAGAGAGGGAGGGAAGGAGGGAGGGAGTCCTGTATCACTGACCAATAATCCAGTCCAGTTCAGATCAGAAAATCCTGCAGAATTTCCTCAGCAAGCCATTCAGGTTCTAACACAGTTGAATCCTCAAAGTGATGGACCACAGCTTTCATTTGTCATTCGGCAACTTTCTCCATCTACCACTTTATCTGGCCTTGGTATTTGCAGGAAAGTTACTGGCTGAACTTGGGAGATGCGAGCATTTCCTTTTCACCCTTCTCTAATTTGGTGTCTTCCATGCCTTTTGAGCGATGTGCTACAGGATCACTGGCTCAAGTGCATGAGGTTGATGGGGGATGTCGTCCAATGTATCTGGGAGGCACCGGATTGCTGAAGGCTGCTAGGGTTAAACAATGCAGGTTTTGGTAAAACTGAATTAGGCAGAATGAGAGCATTTGTTTCATTTTTGGAGACTGGTGCATCATGAAATTTTTCCTGTCTTCTTCCCAACGCCTTTCCTTTTTGTAGGAGATAATTGACCTGACTGGCGAGGACTCCTTTGCTGGGGTCATTGATCTGACAGAGGCTGAAGAAACCATCACCAGTCCTCTTCAGAATGGTGGCTGTATTACTGAGGACCTAAAGCACTCGACTCCAGTTTATGCCCAAACCCTGTGCTATCCTGAAATATTCACCCCTGCAGATGCTGAGATCAAAATGGATGTGACAGTTGGCATGTACGACAGAGACTGTAAATCACCTTGCTCTAAAAAAAGAGCAATGAAGGGATTCTATATTCAAAGCAATGGTTTCTCCCTCACCAAGAACTATCGTGCGGACTCTGAAAGCAGCAGTCATACAGCTTATAACAGTGATTTGGGCTCTTTGGGAAGTCCCCAGCTGGACTCTGACATCTTCTCCTCAGCTAATGAAGGGAGTGAATACCAAGCAGTGTTGGACTATGTGGAGGAGGGTCTCAATCCTTGCCCACCTGAAGGACATCTCAACCCCAAGCTCTCACTGCCACTTCAGAAACCCTCCTCAAGCCCCATTCAGCCTTTGCGGGAAGTGAATAACTTGGTGCCAAGTGCTGCAAAATTAGACTTTCAGGAACCCCCTAATCAGATGGACATCAAGGCCTGGTTGAAGACATTGCAGTATTTCCAAGGTGTGCCTGTACATCACCCCTTTCTCCAAAACGTGGTGCAGGAAATGAGACAGGTAATTTCTGGATGATTCATGTTCCTCAATCATGCTTGGGGCATCTAGCATTGTGAGAAGGGAAGGGATGTACAGTCAAATACTGTAGGTTTCATTTGGGCAATAGCACATAGTTTGAATGGGGGCCATATTTCCCTTCACCACCACCTCTGCTGGCCAGGATTTCTGGGAGTTGAAGGCCAAGAACATCTGGAGGGCCACAGTTCGACACCAGTGCTCTAACTGGTACAGTCAAATACTGTAGGTTTCATTTGAGCAATAGCACGTAGTTTGAATGGGGGCCATATTTCTAGCAGAAAAAAACATTTGTTATTTTTCACCCCCAAAAAAGAGAGAGAAAACTGTCACCTGAGTTTGATACTAAACCACCAGTTTTGCTTTATTTAATTAGTATTTAATGGGGATAATGCTTTCTGAAGATATGTTTCTGTGTGCACAGAACAGGCAGTTGAATGTGCAGCCTATCCCACACCGGAGACTGAGTACTGTGCTTAGCACTATTGAGGAGAGCTTCTTCCAGGGAACCTTGGACTTCCTTATGGATTATGTGTCCTCCCAGCACTACCCACCAAAGGAGATCATCACCTCTGTGGTCAAGGACATTCTCCTGAGTCGAGAGCAAGACAATGTGCAACAAGAGATGCAGAGGGATGCTTACCTGTTGCTGATGAAAATCCAGGCGTATGTATCCCACTGAGGGGGCATTTTGCAGGATACCACTAATCCTTTCCATTGACCAACCTCCTCTCTCTTTTTCAAAGCTGTCATGTAAACTGGAACCCTGATTTTGACTGGATGTAGGTGATTGCTTAAGGCAAGAGTGGGCAAAATATACTGCTCTCATCCACCTGTTTCATTCCCAACATCCTGGGGAAAAAAGTGTATATATATATATTTGTTCCCAAATGACCAGTTGAGGTTATATCTGCCACATTTCTAGCCCTTAGATCTCTTTTAGGTGGGTTGCCCCCCCACAAAAAAAAATCTGGAATTAAAAAAAGGCACCTTAGAGGGGCTAATTGCAGAAACCAGAGCAGGTGGTTTAGGGCAAAAATGTAGCAAAATCTTCACTTAGGAGGGGGGAAAATACAAAAATAATTTGTATTTTAAAATGGCAAGATGTGGCCCTCCAGTGTCCTGGGAGGAAGATGGCACCCCCAGACCTCAGGAAGTTGTCCACCATTGGAGCTACAGCTACACTTCTTGAAAAGACCACACATGTTCATGGCTTGGTCTTTTCATTCATGTGAGGCCTGCTATTTCACACTCAGTAATCAAGAGACCCACATTTTGTTACAATGGAAAACAACTGCTAAACAGAAAAACATGCAGTGATGATGAATGTTCATTTCCCCAAAGTAAAATAATATGGATATTAATTAATTCTTCACAAATTAGGTCTATTGACTAAGTAAACCCCTCTCACACATACACGTTACGGCCAAGAAATCAATACAGCAGATGTTTCTAAATGACTGCTTACTGGAAAAAATGAAAGTTTAAAAGAGTTACAACAGTTAATTCTGACTTTTAGACTTCACCCAGCAAATGCTGACACCGTGGTGTGGGACTGGAAGCTGCTGCGTATGGTCATGGAGGAGGAAGAGGTATGTTGCTTGCATCCTACTGCAGAAAAAAAGATATTTTAAGCGGTTAGCACTCTGCCTGCCTTTGATTTGCAATGAAGTGTGCTGTTCTTATGCTGGCCTTTCAACCAAATCATCCTCATGCCGGGGGTTAACTGCAAAGAATTGGGAACAAATATTATCTGATTAAGCTTCCACATCATTGCCAATTACGAAGAGCTGTTCTAGTGACATGTTGAATAGGCCCAGAGAGGGCAGAAGTAATTCCAGGCAGGTTCAGGAGTATTTGGCCTACCTTGTCTTATAGCGGGAGGGGGACCGCAGCCCCTCTCAACAGTGAGAAGTAAGTCTATGGGCTTGGATCCCAAAAATGCTTGGCTTTCAGTTGCTTGTACTATAGTAGCCAAATCTTGGCCATCCAAGGCATGAATAGGGAGTGTGATGCTGCACAGCCTGCAGGTTGTACACCTGCCTTTGATGGTATGGTCTTCCTGACTGGGATGTTTTCTGACTCTTCTTACTAATGCCCCAGCTTCCTGGCTAGGAATAGGGTGGCCCAGGCAACAGCTGACTGTCTTTTTTTTTTTTTGCTCCTAGTAATGAAGCGTCTCTTGCCCCAAGAATGTATGAGTGCATCAAATGTTGTAGCTGCAGCTCTTCTAGCTTTCTTTTAAAAAAGAAAGAAAGAAAATACAGGATTTCTGCTAACCATGTGCATAGAACTGTCATGGGCACTATTGGAGCACTATTTCTTCAGCAAAATTTTATTTTAAGATTAGAGCAGTACTATTTGAGGCCAATATTTTCGTGCGTGAACTCAGGCACTGGCTTGCTTTCTATCTTTTGAGCAAGTGCTGAAAATCTTTTCCCTTTCTTTTATGCCTTAGTGTTGTCAGTAGGTCATATAAATCTAGCTATATGAACATCTTTTGAGCCCAAGCATGGGTAAAATGCAGCTCATGGGCCCCATACTGCTACCAAGTACCCATATGTGGACCCTCATCACCTCCCATGTCCCCTAAGGTTTTAATTTTTTTTTCCAAAATGCTCAGAAAGTACCCTTTTTAAATAAAAAATAAAATTTCCCAATGCTAGGCCAAAAGGGTTTTTGTTGCAGTTTTTTTAAAAAAAGACATTTTAAAGGTAAAGTATATGGGGACTCTCCTGCCAACCTAGCAGTTCGAAAGCATGTAAAAAATGTGAGTAGAAAAATAGGTACCACATTGGTGGGAAGGTAACGGCGTTCCATGTCTAGTCACGCTGGCCACGTGACCACGGAAACTGTCTACAGACAAACACCGGCTCTACGGCTTGGAAATGGGGATGAGCCCTGCCCCCTAGGGTCAGATACTACTGGACATTTGTCAAGGGGAACCTATGTATCTATCAGAACACCTGCTCCTGGCCAGATCTGTCCATAATACACGCCTGCTCCTGGCCAGATCTGTCCATAATACACGTTCTTCACAGGTAGGGCGGTTGAGGGCCTTGGCCCCAAAGGAGGCCTGGAGGGAAAGAATAAGAAACCGAGCCTTCTCGGCGGTCGCCCCCTGCCTGTGGAACAATCTGCCCATGGAGATCCGCCTGGCACCCTTGCTGGATGGGTTCAAAAGAGGGATGAAGACCTAGCTGTTCCACCAGGCTTTCCCAGAGCACTAAGATCTTGCCTCCCTTTTTACCATCCTTTTTGCCATCCTCTCCATCACCTCTTTTACCACCTTTCTTGCCATCTGTTTTAATTTCCCTATTTGTTATGTATTAATTTATCGTGTTTTAATATTGTTCCTAATACTGTTGTTAACCACCCAGAGTGGCCTGGTTACCAGATAGTGCAGGATATAAATTCAATCAATAAATAAATTACCTTTATGGGGACTTGGTGGGAAATAAGAGCAGATACGGCCTTGAAGATTCAGGAATGAGCAGTATAGTCTTTGCTTTTTTTTTGCTTTTTCTTTTTTATATGCTCATTACTGTTTTCTGTTTCTGCAATTGTCTTTCTGCTTAGGAAAACAAGTTTCCTGGAGAACCTCTCTTTTTGCAATATGTGATTCAAACCCTAGAAGATGACTTCGAGAAGATGGCCAAGCAAAGCCTTCTGAAGAAATCCATTGCCAAGACAACACTTTCTTGTGACTGCTGCTTCAGCAATGTCAGGTAACCAGCACTTTATATCCTCAAGCCTCCCTCCATGCCTGGCAGCCAGACTGAAACCTGCGGCGCTGCACATGACACATAAGCACATCCCAACTAATATTTCTGTTTGCCTCAGGGAAGTGATTGAATGGATCATAGCTGCCATCACTGGAGTCAGGTCTTCCCAGCACCGAAGACAGCAGGAAGCTGGAAGTCCTTCTTCAGAAACATCCAAGGGGGAGAGCTACAGTTCCACACCAGAACAGCACTTAGACTGGATTGCACAAAACGAGGTTGTCTCGTCACGGTGTCATACCAAAATGTAAGCAGAGGAGCTTGTCTCTTGTTCTGTCCGCATCTTAGGCCAGAACTGTATTCCTTATGCCTGCCAGCAGAAGTCCAATGGCATACATTTCCATAGCAAGTTGCTCTTAATTAAGAAACCGATGCTTGTATTTTTCACACACCAGTCATAACACGATGCACAGCAAAAAGCACAAGCATTGATTTCTTCACTGGTGGCAATTGGTAGCTGAGATTAACACAGTTGGTCTTATGCCAGCATAAGTAAGTAAGAGGATTCTAGACATAGATTTCTTTCCCGAAGATGTTAGCTTTTAATTAAACAAAGCTGTGCCTGATCTTTGTGATGGATAATGAGACATTCCCTTCTATTTAAGTGCTCTAGGGAAAGACCAGTTTCCTTGAGTGCATTTGGATATGATGAAGGACTTACAACTGTAGGTACCTAAAGATAGCACAGGTAGCACAGAGCATCTTGCTGTGACATACAATGCTTTGAAGCTTAAGCCTGTAAAGCCTCTGTCCTGCTTTCAAAAGAGGCCAACTACAGGCATCCGTATTCGCTTGAACTGGGCTCCCTAGCCTGTTTCTTATGCTGGCCTTCAGGTTGGCTGATGCTGCATGAAATAACTTTCCAAGCAGATGGGGCTCCATGCAGTTGCAGAAACACTTGAATCCCCTTGCTTGGAGGCCAAAAGCATTGGGGTATCAGTGGTTATCCTTGTTAGGAGATTCTGAGACTTGCCATCCAGGAAAGTAACTGTTTCAAGCTCTGGCTGGCACATAATAAGGTGGCTTGAGCAATCTTGATGGGAAAGAGATTCACACGTTTCTGTGTGGATTGGATTGGAATATCTGCCCAACAGGGCTTAAATGAAGAGAGACACAAACACTGAAAGGCCTGTGGTGTTAATTGAAATACCCACCTGTTTCAAAAGGGTGTATTATTCCCTTCTTTAGGAATTACAAAAACATTTTAAGTAGTGGCAATATACAGTATATATTTATAACAGTCAAAGAATGTGTGTGTTATTAGAATAGACTGGCTGAAATCCAGTACTAATTAGCAACTAGAAAAAGTCCATTGAATGAGTGAAGATTTGGTGAGTCAGCTCCTTTGTAAGTTTCACTGATTTAGTTTGCCCTACTCTGCTTGTGACTTACACTAGATTTAGCCGTTGTTTTAAACTATTGACAATGTACATGTTTGTTTTTTAATACTTAGTTATCTTCTATAGTTTTTTCTTTTAAAATCTATTATAATCTTATAATCTATTCTTGATAAATAAATAAATTAGGAATTTGAGGAGGGGCTTGTTTGTTCCTCATTTTTTCTTTAGCCAACACCTGGTAAGCAAATTGCTTGAAATGGGTATAACCCTCCTTCATTCACATCCTGTGTGCAGAGGCATGTAATAAGTAACAAGCTCTGAATGTTCTGGGTCTGTTATACTTCAGGCAGTCAACCAGGTTTTCCAGCCCTTCCAGAGCAGCTGTATTCTTGAACCAAGGGTTGAAACTCTGTTGTAAGGTAGAGCTGTGCTTAGTAATGCTTTGTTTTCTGGTTCTCTGACTTAGGGAGGTGGCAATTCTCCAGAAGATGCTTTCAATAGCAGTAGAAGTGGATGCATCTCCAAACTGCAGTGCCAATAAGATTGCAGATTGGATATTTTCATTATTGTTGAGTATTCCTAAGCGCTCTCAGAGGTAAGAGATGTATAATGAATCTCAAGTTCCTTAATCCTCAGTACTGCTGAGGATTTTCTTGATTCTTTCATGGTCCTCTCATGTTTCTGGCTTTGCATTTGTTGTACTGGTGTTCACACATTTCTGGACAAAGAGCAGATCCTGTGCAAAAATCTGTGTCTTCTCTTTAGAGGGACTAATGCAGATCTGTATTAAAAAGTTTCTCTTTAATGAGAATATATGGAAAATTCAATCACAAGCAGCATTTATATGCAGGCTTTTATGCCCTACCAAATGTACAAAACACAATCCAGCAAACAGCTGAGTTAACGCTATTGAAGTAGCCTGCTTCTGGTTACAAACACTCTAATCATTTCAGTATTTAAATTTGTTTGAATTTAATTTATATTTTATATACCTCCATAATTTTAAATTGTGATACAAAGAAAGAAGGAGCAGATGAAGAATACAAATTGTACTTCCCCTGTTTGATCAGCCATGATTTCCCAGCTCCAGATATTGTAATTAGGCAGAGATGAAGATGTTCTGGAGCAAGATATGCACCCTTCACAAATACTTCAACAAAACTTGAAATCATAAGGCTTCAAATTTGAGGTGGTCTTAATGCTTTTCCCATGTCATGAGGAAAAAAAGAATTTCTAGCTTCTTAATATGTTCAGTTAATAACAAAACAGGGTCTACGGATTTGTTTTAGGCTTTGTTTCTCATGCCTCTGGGAAAGATCACTACATGATTATGTAGTGTTGTTCTTTGGGATAAGTTATGATTCGACCCCCAACTTATTCTTTCTTTTAAGAATAATGTGTCATCATTGGTAACATTTTGAAAGTGTGCTAAAATCCAGAGCTTGACATTTTAAGATGATTAAAAAGAAGGGAAAACCATCAGTCCCCTTATAACCGCACTAGGCATCCTGGCTGTCTGAAAGAAAAGCCATTTCTGCCTTCCCAGTCAATTTTGCTTTCCCCAAATTTCTTCCTCTTCCCCCGCCCCTTCTTCGTGAAAACAAGGCAGACAAAGATTGCCTGGATGGACTTAGAGCAGAGAGGGCCTTTCACCAGCTTTGTTTTCATACAGCAGTCATTGCTATTATATGCTTCCTTCATGAATTAAGTGTGTGTGGTTTTTGGCTTTGAAGTCCATAAACTAAGCACAGTGTAGAACAAAAATGTTTTCTCTAGCCTGTAGGGAATCTGTTGCCAATCAGTTTCACTGCCAAGTTCTTGTATTGTGTGGAACAGAGAGAAACATCTTGCTGTCCATGCACTCCACCCCATACGTGCTTTTTAAAGATTCTGTGATGCCTCCTTACTCAGTGCAAGCATTGCATTTGCTAGATGCACTGAAGTCAACAGGATTACTCTAGTACCATATCTCTTTAAATTATTTGAAGTTAAAGAGATGTGGTACTAGAGGTTTCTTTGTCTGGAGAACTGCCCTGCCTGAATTGAGGTGAGGGCGTTCTTGAACTGATGTTCAAGAAGCCTTACATGCAAACATGGTAATTCCAGGTGTTGGACAAAGCAGATTATTTAGCTCCATTACAGTTTGGCTGTTTCTCTCAGATACTGTTACATCCTTGGACACCCAGATGAATGACCTCTGCTTGGAGAGAGACAGCAACATGCAATTTCTTAGTAACTTTTAATACTAGTTCACCAGGGTATGATTCTTGACTGCCCTGAGCAGACGAGGGCCTTAGTTGCTGCAATGGTTTCATTCTTTCTCATGGGTGTTTCAGGAAGTGGTCCTGTGAGATTATTTCACCTCCCTATGACAGTTGTGTTGTTTTTTTCTCAGATGCCGATTTTTGTCTTCGTAACTCATGCTGACAGAGGCTGGTAAGAGCTGTGGAGTGCACTGCCATGAACATGACTTCTAGTTGCTCACCAGCTCCAAAGTAGACTACGCTGTGCTTGAACATGTGTTCTAGTGCAGTGAGGATTTGAATGAAGATGAATAAGCTTAAATTCGGTTCTGATTAAACAAAATAATGATTATGGGGAACTAAAGCCCGTTTCAAATTAGACAGAAAGAACAAGTTTTTCACTTAAGGGGTATTTCTGAACCCAGAATTTCACAGACATCTCTGAAGCAAACTCCAGTGTTACCGGTTGATTGTTACTTCATTGTTGAAGCTTCCACGTTTTTAGTGTGTTTCTGTTGGCTGTTCAAGTGACTGACTTTAACCTGTAAAAGCACTCAAGTAATCTGTGCTCCAAGGCAGTTCAGGGAGGTACCTGACTCTCTCATGAATCCAAGGTTCAGTTGAGGAAGCTGTTTTAGTTTTCATGTACATGGAGGCTAAAATAGTCTTTGTAATCAGCAGCATCTTCTCAGGGTTGCCCCAGAGTTCTTGTATGCCCTTCCAGAGACTGTTACGGCGCCAGCACCTTCCCTTTTGGTACCCTGCAGGTAGGTCAAGACACAACTCTTCCAGGGCACCTTCCCTGTTCCAAAAACATTGATCTCACATATTTATTTCAACATTTTTTTGGTTTTGTAGATATGTTCTGATATAAACCTCTTTTAGATAACTGGGAATAACTTATAGAGACTTTGTAAAAACTTTATCATTTCCTTATTTTTATTTTATTTTATTTTGTCTTGCAGGGAAGCTTTTCTGGCCAGTATAGAATGTGATCTCCTGCGATGCAAAGTCCTGGAGCTCATTTTCCAGCACAGCTCAGCACCCACTGCACTGCCCTTATCTTTGACTAAGATCCTACATTTTCTGGAGACTTTTTCTGTGCAGCTGAAATACCAGGTACACAAGTACTTGTTTCCTTTGTCCATTCTGAGTCAAAAAGCATTTCAGCTCATCCTTTCCCATATTTATATGCAATTCAGTGCCAGTTCACCTTTCTTGCAAACCCAATAAAGACATAGGCCTACCTCATAGTATTCCCGTTTGAGAAAATATTGTCAATCTAGAACAAATTTAAACTCTCAAATTAAATAACCTTATCTGTTTCACAGGACAATGAAGCAACGTGGCAGCGATGGGATGAAATGCTCCACCACTTGAGTTTATTGTTCTTGAGCTATCGCAACATAGTTTTAGGTGAGTAGCTAGCTAGTTTATGGCTTGTTAGCTCATCTGCACAGTGCATAACCCAATCAAAATATGTTACTATAGTATCTGCTGGAGGTTGCTAGGCGCTCCTCGGTGGTAAAGCCGGGTCTTCAGGCTCTCCACATGTTGACTGGGGCCAGGGACGGAATTGGGATCTTGCTGGGTTACCGTGCTCCCCGCAACCCAGCCATTTCCCTACCGGAGCTGGTGGACTTTGTCTCCGCGGCACTGTTGGTGTCCCCGAAGCTGTTGATTTTGAGGGACTTCAACGTGCATGCAGGGGCAGAGACTTCTGGGCCAGCTCTTGAGTTCTTGGAGACCATGGCCTTCTTGAACATGTCCCAACACGTCAACGGCCCCACCCACATGGGTGGCCACACACTTGATCTGTTTTTTTCCACCAATGGGAGCGAGAGTGGTCCGATGGTGACTGACCTTGAGTCGGTACCCTTGTCATGGTCGGATCACCACCTAATAAAATGCACCCTCAAAATGGCCCTCCCCCCTCGCAGGGAGCTTGGACCCATTGTTATGGTCCGCCCTCGAAGGCTACTGGATCCGGTTGGATTCCAGGAAGCCATGAGAGGTGCCACGGCTGACCTGGCTGG